ATGGCCCTGCTGTGAATGCACCCAAGGTAGCAGTGATCATAATACAACTGAATTTTATAAGGAGAGAAGAATGAGCCCAAGACTAGTGTTTGAAGTTCAAATATAGGCAACTATGAGCTAGCTAATGTGAACTGGCAAATTAGATTACAGAATTGGTCAATAGAGATACAGTCACAGATGTTGAAGAGGATATGTTAGAATGCACAGAGTAAATATATTCCAACATGAGAGAAAAAAGTCCAAAAGAAGAACCCACCATCAGTGATTAACTGGAAAAAGTTAAAAATAGCATCAGACTTAATGTATGTAATTACACAAAATGGTGATGGGTCAGAAATTTGAACAGAATATAGAAAACATCAAAGAATGTCAAACAAAGTCCTGAGGGAAAAATTCATGTATAAGAGTAAGCTGGCTAAGAATTTCAAGATAAAGGGTTGAATTACAGGGTAAAGAACGAGGTTGAATTGTTTGCAGACCCCGAACCTATCCCAGTTGGAAGCATTTCTCTTTGGGGTTTAAACTACGTGGAGATGTACCTCTGAACCAAAAGGCCCGGGTTCAAATCCCACCTGTTCCAGAGGTATGTAATAACATTTCTGAGCAAGATGATCTTAAAAAAAACTACATCACCATAATTAGCATTAAGTGGCCAATCAAAGGCTTCTGTCTTGAGAAGTGTAGTAGGTTGCAGAGGAGATTCACTAAAAAGGCATTTCAACCTGAAAGTTGACTCTCAAAAATTTTTTAAAATTGAAATGAAAGAAACAAATGCAACCAGTGCACCACTGTTGTGTGTTGGAGTGTAGGTGAATGACAGCAATTGAACAGTCTTTAGCTGTACACACACTAGGTGTAACCTGTAGGTCTGCCTGGAGCACTGCATCACCCTGAAACTCCAGCCTGCAGCTTAAGTGCATTCACTCAGTCATACTGCTGCCTTCCAGTAGCTTTGGGGAACTGGAAGCTGACTGAAAAACCCTTCTTAGCCTACTTCAACTTGGGTTATCAAGGCTTTTAATGAGCCAAATTATATGCCTACTTCATTGCCGCTGATTCCCCTACCAGACTCAAACCTAGTTTGACAAAATTTGCTTGCATCAGAAATGGGGATGTCAAGAAACTGGCAGACTATTTGTAGGTGACTTTTTTAGGACCCAACTCCCTCTGTTCCAACTCTCAGTTGGGCCCCACAATTCAATCTGCTATGTAGATGTGACGGACCCTGAAAGCTTATAATTTTGGTGGGTAAGATCAGACAAAGCTAACCGATAGCTATTTTTCAGGATAGATCAGTTGACTGGGACCGAGGCTGAGATAGGGACTATAAGGAGACATTAAGTGTTGAGAGAACTGAAAGAATGTATTCATAAATTTAAAATTGATGCTTAAGGTAGAGAGTTTGGCCAGTAAAGCCACAATGGCTGGGATGAAGAGGTAGGAAGGCTCCGAAACAGCAACTAGCTGCAAAGGGCGAATTATAGTGTAACTAAATGCTGACACTACCCCATTGTAAATATTTAGTTAGCAATTTAACAGTCTACATGTTGTACAGACATTACTGAGATATTGTGACTGAGATATTAAGAGTAATATGGGCAAGAAGTATCAGCATTTGCACGTCATTTACTAGTCAGTTTTCTATGATGTTAAACACTGGGAGTACAGTTTTTGGCCCAAACAGGATCATAAAGTTAATTTGAATAAAAAATGAGGGGGAGAGGTTGGAGAAAAGTGGGAGAAAAGAGTAGGAGGCAACATGAAGATGAATATAAAGGAGAATGTTAAAATCGTGTCTTTCCTATTACTTTCCCTTTTGAGTTGTATGCTTAGCCACAGTGTCTTCTCCTCTTACTCCTGCTACTTTTCAACATTAAGGTCCCAGCTGTGAGGATGCTGAACGTTTGTTAGAATCTGACTAAATAGAATATAATCATTTGAAATGTCACCTGTGGAAGGACTGAAGATAAGAAAGTATGTAACAGGACACTAAGTTTATATTGAAACATCAAAGGAATCTTTTACACAAACTTGAACAAAATAAGCAAATAATAATGCCTAAATAGATACACTGAACAAAGATCATAATTGTTTAAACAGTGTGCATTTCTTTCTTGCACTCAGTCCGACAGACTTAATCCAGCTTAATCATTTTTATACTGTGGCATTCATCCGTAGTTTAGAAGGATATTCTGGGTCTGGCTGCATGGTCACAACTTGGGTCTGTGGCCTGGCCAGTGATGCCCATGTACTGTGAATGAACATTTTTAAAAAAAAGTGGCATCAAGGAGCCCGAGCAAAAACTGGAGTCAATGGAATTGGCTCTTTACAGAGCTCCCTAAGACTTTCCTTTTCTTCCTATTTCAGAAAATAATTCTGTTTGTTCTGATGACCTAGTTATTCTCCCATTTTGCACCTTCTTGCTTTTCTTTTAGTTCCTTTGCTGCCTTTTGTAAGTCCAAGGCTGCTGTATATTATTTAATAACTTTATTAATAGCTGGTATGGACAATACAGTACATTTTCACGTCTGAGCTGCACTTACCTGTCCTGTAGCCACTTCTTCCTGTATTGTCCCTTGAAATCTAGACTAATGCACATTAATAAGGAGTCGAGGAGTAGAATGTCTGGAGCTGGAGTTTGAGCAGGAGGTGGTGTTGTTGGCAAAAGCTGGTGGCACCAGTGAGCACCACCAACCCGAGTGTCGTTTTCCTGGCTCTGTCCCACTTCGTCGTTATTTTCCCAAAAGTGGTATGGGGTTGGGGAGAGGGCCTGATCAAGTAGGGAACAGATGAAATTAGTTAATAGTCAACTGAAGGAGCTCGACCAGAATGATTGTAGGGAGCTATTTATATGCCTGATGGCAGCGTCCCTTTGAGGCCCTTCCAATTAGCAGCAGCCACAAGCTCTGGAGAGGCTTCCTCCATCCCTCTCTTTCTCCCACAGTGCTGGCCTGGCTGCTCAAACCTTTTTCCAAATTTGATTCTTGAAAAAGTTGGAGAGAGGAAACTTACAGTGTGATTAAAGCACTTCTACACGCAAAGGGTAGAAGGATGGTAGATGTTTGGAACTCTGTTTCACAAATGGCAGTGGATACTAGATCAGTTAATTTAAAAACTGAGATAGATAAATTTTTGTTAAACAAGGGATATAGGCCAAGGCCAGGCATATGAAGTTAGACCACAGATTAACCATGATCTTCTTGAATGGTGCAAAATCTCGAGGGGCTAAATGGGCTAATCCTGTTCCTATAAGGTATGGGGAGGCCTACCTTGGCATTGAAAATCCTGGCCTATGTTTTTTGCTTAGCATACCATGATAGCTAAAGTTTACTGTTAAAGCAGATGAGATTTATGTAATTTGATTATTTTACTCTAAACATATTTAAGTATAGCCCAGTGTTCTCAATGGAAAATGAAAGGCTCATTGGATCCAGAGAAAGATGGTTGAACTCGAGCAGAAGCTGATATTTTGGAGATGTGAAATTCTTATAATAATGGCAATGTCTATATGAGTTTTTCCAATTCTTATAATTTTATTTGCAAAGATCCCAAAGTGATTTGTAATACTTGGGTGGGTAAAAAAGAAATTTAGCACTATTTGTTATTTCTAGTGAAATTCGAAGCATCTGTGTAAAGAAGGCATTTAGTCTTGCTATAAATATCAGCTAACGGAAATTATCCTCCTTTGTGGCATCATACTTTCCAACAGGAAGTCTTTTCATTTGGGGTAGGTTTCTTTTTCCGAAAAGTCATCCGAGTTACATTATTATGGATAGTTTTACAGATGAACAGTTATTGAATATGCATGAATGATTTTGTAGGAAAGGATAGAAAACTAAGCATATTGAAGTTTATGAAAACCTTTCAGGAAAATCAGGAACCAAATTAAAGGATGTTTCATCATTTTAATTTTATATTGTAGCCATGCAACTTGGTGTCAATAGCAACGATTTAACCACTCTTCTCTGTTACAGTTAATTCACTTGAATTGTGTCCTTTGGGAAGTCTGCCTGAATGTGACAGTTTTATTTTGTGTGGTATTTACAACAAGAACTTTAATGGCTAGGACAGACAATTTTAACTTGAAATCTAGACTTAAGAGATTTCCCACGTTCAGAGACAGAGCACATGTGTATGTCTGTGTTACATAGCTTGTTTTTCCTGGAACAGGTGATGTTAGCCTGAAGCCAGAGTTTATATCTTCAGGTCTGGCACCCCACACTAATCATCGCTGACTAGGAATTACTTCTATTTTTATCACCCATCATTGGCATAAAATCATAGAATTCCCATAGTGTGGAAGCAGGCCTTTCAGCCCATCAAACCTACATTAACCCTTCAAAGAGCATCCCATCCAGACTCACCTATCCCTCTATCCCTGCCTTTGCCATGCCCAATCCACCTAACCTGCACATCTTTGGACTGTGGGCGGAAACCCACGCAGACACGGGGAGAATCTGCAAACTCCACATAGATAGTTGCCCGAGGGTGGAATTGAGCCAGAATCCCAGGCGCTGTGAGGCAGCAGTGCTAACCACTGAGCCACCATGCTGCAAGTTGAACGGATTTGCAGATTTGCATTCAATCTGGCTGTGACTGCATTATGAACACATTTTCAGTGGCCATCAAATCCTGGAGTGAGATTTGAAGCACGAGCTTCTGGCAAGGTGATGCCGTAGCTGAAGACCTCCTGTGAATAAAACCATAGAGACTGGGTTGTTTCAGTGGAGAGAAAGATATTCCTCTTAGTAAGTTTAAATAATTCAATAAGCCTGTAAAGAATTATGTTGATCAGTGATATAATTTTAGTACATCTTAGTAAAAGACCTCTGAGTTATGAAGATGTTGTCCTTCTATGATGAAAATCTTGCAACTGTTCTCACTTTCTATTCCTCCTATTGAATCTTCGGCACAACTTGTAGTTTGGAAGCCATTAAGGGTCTTTTGGCTTTACTGTTTTATGGTACTTTTAACTGTCATATAACTTTTTTCATTATTAGGGCCACTGGTGGACCATCAGGTAGAAGTGGACATCGGATGGTTGTTTGTAAGAGACAGATCTTGGTGTTTGGTGGATTCCATGAGAGCACAAGGTAAGTACCATTTTGAAGATAATTGTAGTTCTTGACAAATGTTTACTTAGCACCAGTACCAAAGCCAGATTTTTATGAACTCATTTACAAAAGTTATGCCATGAGCACTGTTGAAGCTTCACTTGTTGCAAACATTTTGGTCAATTCTACCACTGTTTTAGAATTCAAATTTTTTCTTCTGTAATAAAGACAAAGCAAGAGCTACAAGGGAAGTTAGAAATGCAGGTTTAATTTGATGTTGACATGAATGTTAAACAACTTTAAGAACAGTATTTTTTTTACTTGTAATGTGAGGCAATTGTCTTACTACGTAATGAACTGATGTGATGCATTTGTCCACTTGTGAGTATTAAGAGTATTAAATTGCCCATAATTTTAATTAGTATCTTGCTAGGTACAGTAAAATCTTTGCATTGAACTTACCAAAAATAAAGTTCAAATTGGCACAAGGAATGTAAAACTGTAGAACCATCTAAACCTCTGTCATTGTAGTACCATTCACCCAGAGAGAAGTACAGAAATTAAAGAAAATTAACTGGATTGTCCATTGATTCTTAAATCTGTGTTATGAATGGCGCGATGAGTGTGTTGGTAATCAATCCCCACTACTCCACAAGTCATAGCAAAGTATGTCTTTTTTAATCACCAAAATGATCAATTTGTTTCTCTATTACTCTGACCTAGAATAAAAGATACTTTGCCAGGTTACTTCAATGAACTGAAATAGAACTTATTTATTTTAAGCAAACATATTATTTAGGCAAGTGAAAAACTAGTTTAAGATAATACAAAGAAATAAGCAATATTCCCTTGATCCCAAACATAGACAAGACAATTCATGTCTGCAGGAATCTTGTGAGTTTGAAAAAATTATTGGCGAGAAAGGAGCAACATCCCTTTTGGTACGAGTTAAGAAGATAGAAAGGGTTCACTTCTCAGTTTCTCTAATTTCTCTCTTGTTAATATCAGATTGCCGACAGTTGCAGATGATGAAACATCTTTTGACCAGTTTTCAGATTCGGATGGAAAACCGTTACAAACATTGATACTTAAATTTTATCAGGATTTACAAATACTTCACTGAGACAGAAACTTGCTGGTTTTGCTTTAAGGTTTGTTCCTTGCAGAGAGCTGCTTTTTGGCTGCAAGTTTCTTCAACATTTCACACTTGAGGCCTCTGAAAACATGCAGTGACTCGACCCCAAAGGCTGTTGTTAGACAATAACCAGCACAGATCCAAAACTTTTATGTTTATTTGTCTATCATGTAATTAAGCCATTGAAAAATCTTATTGAAAAGACGTCTATTGAACTCTTTCTTGCAAAATTACCTGTTTTTCCAGTAAACTGATAATCTAGAGTTCCTTTTTATCTTCTGACTTTTAAGGCTGAATTTCACCAATAATTTGCTAAGTGTCAATTTCGGGGTGTTTCTTGGATGGGTTCTCTCCATTTGCTCTGGCATGTATGCACCATGCTTCTGTGCTGCTGTTCTCTTGTGCTACCAGCAGCAAAGGTACTGGCCACTGCCAGGACTTTCTGGGATTACCAGAGCCGTATTTAAACACCAGCAGCTCTTTGCAGTTGCATTATAGGAAGTGATACCCCTGTGATGGCCAACAGAAGCAAGCTGGCACTCAAATTTTCTTGACAGCAAACTGCAGGTCTTGGTGGACTGGGAGATGGAGTGAAGTGCTGCCCTTTTCCCTCAGGTCTTCTAGAAGAGACCATAGCACCAGACCCTGCTAGCCTTGTCACCGACTTTGCTAAACTAAAGAAGGAAGGAATTCCAAGAACAAATGATCCACTGATGAGATTGTTCACGGTATTGACACACAATATTTCTTCTGTTTCAGAAAGTAACTATTTGTGAAGGATTTCTTCAGCCAGAGGGTGGTGAATCTGTGGAATTCATTGCCATGGAAGGCTGTGGAGACCAAGTCATTAAGTGTGTTTAAAACAGATTCTTAATTAGTAAGCGGATCAAGGATTACAGGGAGAAGGCAGGACAATGGGGTTGAAAAACATAACAACCACGTTTGAACGGTGAAGCAGACTCAATGGGCCAAATGGCCTAATTCTGCTCCTATATCTTATGATTTTGTTATAGTCTTATAAGGACAGATTACCTCAATTGATGTTAGTTGTGCAAGTCTCATTCAGAATAAACATATCCAGCACTTTCATGGTTCTGTTCTGCTTGCGTGACATGTTCAGTTCCTGTATTTCTGTGTTTCTGTTTAACAAGATTTTCGTGGTATTAGTGAAATTTGATCTGCGCATTGAAATAACTCCACAGAGGCTGGTATCCCATTATTCTACTTAATTGCAGTTATAAATACAAATTAATTGGATAATATTATACTCATGGTTAGCTCCTCACCATTTAGTCAGAAAAGGTTTAATAAACAATTCTTTATTTCAGGGACTTTGTTTATTACAATGATCTTTATTCCTTTAACTTGGACACATTCACATGGTCAAAGTTATTTCCATCTGGGACTGGTCCATGCCCTCGCTCAGGTTGTCAAATGGCTTGCACGACAGATGGCAATGTGGTGATATATGGAGGTTATTCAAAGCAGGTAATTTGTTCATTTTTGTGAATCTTCTGTTTAAGTTTAGCATAAATCAACACCAGAGACAGTTATATAACAGTAACAATTGCCTTGAAGAATTTATAGACATCTCGTGTAATTTTCCTTTGATTTATTTAAAAATGTTTGATTAGGAGATAAATATTTCTTGTATAACAGTTAAGATTCTGGATATCTTAGAATTGCAGTCATCATTGATTATCTAACTAGTCTTGAGAAAACTGATAAGGCCATTAGGGAAGGAAAATAGAGGAAGCTCAGGGAAAGCTGCAGTAGACTTGGGGCTACAATTGATTGATGAAAATAATATGCTTCTCTGACTAAAATATGTTTCTATTTTAGTCACTGGTAGTATATAATTTAAATGCTTAGTAATTGGTGTTGTCATCTTTAGCGTCAGTATTGTTGGCTTGCCCCATGGTTAATTCGATTGAAATTTTAAGTATTGATGAGATGGAAAATCCAGTAAATTCCAGTAGGGAGGTGGTAGGAGCCATACAGTTAGCTTCATTGCTAATGAATTAAGCAAGGGCATGAAGATAAAGACCCTGACAACGTCCTCACTGTAGTACCTGATTTATGCGCCAAAGTTAACTGCTCCTTAGCCAAGCTGTTCCAGTAAAGTTATGACACTCAAATCAATTTAACAATGCATTAAACAATCAATGTAATCCTGTTGACATCTCCCAGTCACAGTGCAGTTGGTGTTGTGCAGATGGACAAAGGAGGAAGTAGTTGAGAAAATGGATATCATTAAAACAGATGAAAAATCTGGCAGCATTCAAAGTGGAGAAGTACGTCAGTTTTTCTGGATCATAGCCTAAGTTGTTGAGGGAAGTGAGAGTGGAAGTTGTGGAGGCTTTGACTGCAACTTTCCAATTATTTTAACTATGGAGATGCACCAGAGTGCAAGAAAGATCGCAGATGTTGTATCTTTGATCATAGAGGTTGCGGGTGGGTGGGGAATGAAGTAACTACAGGCCAGTCAGCTTAATGTTAGGCGTGAAAAGTGTTTCAAGGCCACTTTGAAAACTGTGGGGTAAATCATGTTTGACTAACATAGTTGAGTGAGGAAAGCTTGAGAATCAGAAAACCCTGATCTGAAGTGTTTGGGGAAAAGAACCAGGGGTGAAATGAAGAAGAGTTTTCATGTATGCAGTAGATGGTAGGGCTCTGGAATAGTTGCTGGGATTTGTGGTGGAGACAGATTCAATGGTGGCTTTTGAAAGGGAGTTGGATAATTATCTGAAGGGAAATGGCAGGAAAGTGGAAGTAGCTGAATTGCTGTTGGAGAACTGACACAGACTCCATAGTCCACGTGACCTTTTTCTTATTGTAATCATTGTATGGTTCTTTCAAATAACAGGAACGTTAATGTTTATAAATTTAAAGAGACATTTCAGGAAGGACCAGCGTAATAAACTTGTTTGTGAAATTAAAGCCAATGAAATTAAATGGGAAGTGGCAGCATAATTACAAAATGCAAACCTGCAAGCAGAGGTGAGTAGTTGTTTTACAGAAAGGAGGAGAGTAAGCAGTTGTGTCACCTTCTGTCATTTTTAGAACAAGTGCTCTTTTTGTTATGTTAGTGGCCTAGACAAGTGTGTGTCTGTGTCATCTCCCAGGGAGCGGAGTGAAGGCGATGCAGTTCCAGTGGCAGATGAAGGGAGATTGCGGAGGCAATGATGAAGGGTTTGGGTCTGGATTGGGTGAAAAGAGCCAGTGCAGTGAAAGGGAGTGAGGTTCGGGTCCAAAGTGGATGAAGGGGAAAGAGGGTCTTGAGCGGGAGGAGGGGAGCAAGCCAGAAGCAGGTCCAGGTAGCAGAGGTGGCAGATCCCATGGGGAGAGAGACAGGTGTCAGGTCAGGGTCTAAGGGGTGTAAGGGGTCTGTGGAATTTAAGTTGGGGGTGTGTGAACTAAGTCAGGGGTCAGTTGATTAGTTACTCAGGAGTTACACAATATAGTTACTAGTCTTACTTTTCCTGAGGAATTATTTGTTTGATTTCATCTGAACCCCCTCAATTCTGCGATTTAACTAAACTTTCAGAGGGTTCCAGCCAGGAAAACTGCCCAGGCGTAGGAGAATCTTCAAATTTCTAGACAGTTACTTTATGGTTTGCTATGTTGGGATTCTGAGATGGTTTGAGGTGTGTATACTTCAATGCTAGAAGTATCAGAAATAAAGTGGATGAACTTAGAGCATGGGTCGGTACTTGGAACTACGATGTTGTGGCCATCACAGAAACCTGGGTAACTCAGGGAGAGGAATGGTTGTTGGAAGTTCCGGGATTTAGATGCTTTAAAAGAAATAGGGAGAGTGAAAAAAGAGATTGGGGAGTGGCATTGCTAGTCAGGGCGCGTATAGCAGCTACTGAAAGGCAGTTTGAGAATGATATGTCTACAGAGTCAGTTTGGGTTGAGGTCAGGAGCAAGAAAGGAGCAGTCACTTTGGGGGTTTTTTACAGACCCCCTAATAGTTGCAGAGAAGTAGAGGAGCGGATTGGGAGGCAGATACTGGGAAGGTGCAGAAGTCACAGGGTTGTAGTCATGGGTGACTTCAACTTTCCAAATATTGATTGGAAACATTTTAGTTGTAATAGTTTAGATGGAGCAGATTTTGTCCAGTGCGTTCAGGAAGGATTCCTGACACAGAATGTAGATAGACCAACACGAGGAGAGGCCACTTTGGATTTGGTGCTTGGTAACGAACCGGGCCAAGTGTTAGACCTGTTAGTAGGAGAGCATTTTGGCGGTAGCGATCATAATTCTGTTTCTTTCACGATAGTCATGGATAAGGATAGGTACATACGGCAGGGTAAAGTTTACAATTGGGGGAAGGGTAATTACAATTCAGTTAGCCAAGAACTGGGTAACATAAATTGGGAACAGATGCTGTCAGGGAAGAGCACCACAGAGATGTGGAGATTGTTTAAGGAATGCATACTGCATGTGCTCGATATGTTTGTCCCTAGCAGGCAGGGAAGATGAGGTCGAGTGAGGGAGCCACGGTTCTCAAGAGAGGTGGAATGACTGGTTAAGAGGAAGAAGGAGGCTTATGTAAGGTTTAGGAAAAGAGGAACGGAAAAGGCTCTAGAGGGATACAAATTAGCCAGGAAGGAGCTGAAGAAAGGGCTTAGGAGAGCTATAAGGGGGTATGAGAAAACCTTGGTGGATAGGATCAAGGAAAACGCCAAGGCTTTTTACACTTATGTGCAGAACAAGAGAATGACCAGAGGGAGGGTAGGGCCGATCAAGGATTGTAAAGGGAATTTGTGCACAGAGCCTAAAGAGGTAGGAGAGATCCTTAATGAATACTTTTCTTCAGTATGCACAACTGAGAGGGACCTATTTGTAGAGGAGGGTGTTGTGAAACAGGCAGGTGGGCTAGAGGAGGTTGATGTTAGTACAGAAGGTGTGCTAGGAATTCTGAGGAAGTTGAAGATAGATAAGTCCCCGGGGCCTGATGGGATTTATCCAAAGATTCTATGGGAAGTGAGGGACGAGATCGCAGGGCCTTTGGCGATGATCTTTTTGTCCTCGCTGTCCATGGGTATACTGCTGGAAGATTGGAAAGAGGCAAACATCATTCCCTTGTTCAAAAAAGGGAACAGGGATAACCCCGGAAATTACAGGCCAGTTAGTCTTGTGTCAGTGGTGGGCAAATTTTTGGAAAGGGCTCTGAGAGACAGGATTTATGATCACTTGGAAAGGCACAGTTTGATTCGTGATAGTCAGCATGGATTTGTGAGGGGTAGGTCATTCCTCACAAACCTTATTGAATTCTTTGAAGAGGTGACCAAACACGTGGACGAAGGTGGAGCAGTGGATGTGGTATACATGGATTTAAGTAAGGCGTTTGATAAGGTTCCCCATGGTAGGCTCATGCAGAAGGTAAGGAGGCATGGGATAGGGGGAAATGTGGCAAATTGGATTCAGAATTGGCTGACCCTTAGACAAAGGGTGGTAGTGGACGGAAAATATTCAACATGGTGCTTAGTTACGAGTGGTGTACCACAAGGATCTATTCTGGGTCCTCTTCTATTTGTGATTTTTGTAAATGATTTGGATGAAGGAGTGGAAGGATGGATCAGCAAGTTCACGGACAATACGAAGGTGGGTCACGTTGTAGACAGTGCGGAGGGCTGTTCTACGTTACAAAGGGACATTGATAGAATGCAGAGCTGGGCTGAGAAGTGGCAGATGGAGTTTAACCCTGAAAAGTGTGAGGTGATTCATTTTGGAAGGACAAACTTGAAAGCAGAATACAGGGTTAACGGAAAGATTCTTGGCAGTGTGGAGGAGCAGAGGGATCTTGGGGTTCATGTTCACAGTTCCCTGAAAGCTGCCACCCAGGTGGATAGAGTTGTTAAGAAGGTATATGGTGTGTTAGCTTTCATTAATAGAGGGATTGAGTTCAAGAGCCATGAAGTTATGCTCCAGCTATACAAAAGCCTGGTTCGGCCACATCTGGAGTATTGTGTCCAGTTCTGGTCACCTCATTACAGGAAAGATGTGGAAGCGTGGGAAAAGGTGCAGAGGAGATTTACCAGGATGTTGCCTGGAATGGAGGGAAGGTCTTATGAGGAAAAGTTGAGAGAGCTAGGGCTTTTCTCTTTAGAACGACGAAGGATGAGAGGTGACTTGATAGAGGTGTACAAAATGATCAGAGGTATAGATAGAGTAGACAGCCAGAGACTTTTTCCTAGGGTGGAGGTAGCTTTTACGAGGGGACATAGTTTTAAAGTGAAAGGAGGTAGATATCGGGGAGATGTCAGAGGTAGGTTCTTTACTCAGAGCGTGGTAGGGGCGTGGAATGCATTGCCGGAGAGGGTAGTGGAGTCGGCCTTGTTAGGGGCATTTAAGCGGCTATTAGATAGGCATATGGATGATAGTATAAGGTAGCAGTGGAGGTTAGATAGACCTTAGGTTTACGTTAAAAGTTCGGCACAACATGGTGGGCCGAAGGGCCTGTACTGTGCTGTACTGTT